GAAGTCAGATTAGATGCCTGAACGAATAGCATACAAGATTCATGCATGTATGATTTTATTTGCTGCTGAATCCATTATTATAAAAAGAAAAAGTGTTCAAATGTTCCATTATGATGCATTTAAACTTATGTGTAACATTTTCAGGAGAATCTATACAGGGTCTTATGGACGACTGAATCCTATTATTTTCACTACCAGATTTATAATGATGTACGTGTTGTATATTTTGTTGTCTTGCAGGTTATTGTCCAGCGTGCCTTAGCAGCAAAGAACCTATCACACGCTAAAGGAGGAACATTACTTGCCGCTTACTTCAAAATATTACCCACATTTATGATGGTTATACCAGGAATGATTGCTAGAATGCTGTGGCCAGGTATAAAGAATATGTAACTTATATTAATATTCTGTGGCCAGGTACAATGTATATGTATCTTACATTAATATTCTGTGGCCAGGTACAATGAATATGTATCTTACATTAATATTCTGTAGCCAGGTACAATGTATATGTATCTTCCATAATATTCTGTAGCCAGGTACAATGTATATGTATCTTCCATAATATTCTGTGGCCAGGTACAATGAATATCTATCTTACATTAATATTCTGTGGCCAGGTACAATGAATATGTACAATAATATTCTGTGGCCAGGTACAATGAATAAGTATTTCACATTAATAATCTGTGGCCAGGTACAATGAATATGTATCTTACATTAATATTCTGTGGCCAGGTACAATGAATATGTATCTTACATTAATATTCTGTGGCCAGGTACAATGAATATGTACAATAATATTCTGTGGCCAGGTACAATGAATAAGTATTTCACATTAATAATCTGTGGCCAGGTACAATGAATATGTATCGTCAGTCACAGTTTGTTTTTGGTCTTTATAAATGTGTGTAGATTTGGTAGTAAAAAGGTTACTTGGAACCATTTAATTTTTACTGCTAGAAATTCTCGTGACCCCATGATTTTATGACTTTCATTTTTGCAACTCATTAAACATGTTGTAGGACCCAGAGAAATTGTCCCTACTTACAAGTTTTGTCAATTTTGTGAAAATTCCCAAAAAGATAACTAAATTACAGATTACAGACGAAACACGCGTGGGAATTTAGTCCCAAGCGATGATAACAACACACGCTAAAAACGCAAAGGCTCATGGGTAGATGATTGTTTGTAAACAATGACACGTTATGTGCAGGTGAAGACTCCCCACTTTAACCATATTTTAAACACTTATTCAAAGAATGTGTTACCAAAATAAGTCATCACAATTTCGAATTTTTATAAATTGACCAATCAGATCATCAATTATATATCAGGAGTGGGATATCAAAAATTTCTAATATCACATGAAAGTGAAATGATACATGAGATAAATAGATTGATATATCAAGTGATTAATTATTTTGATTTTTATTAGCATGTGTCACATGTTTGTTTTGTCACAGATGAAATTGCCTGTACATCAGAGGAAATCTGCCAAGAAGTTTGTGGAAGTTCAGTTGGTTGTACAAGCATTGCATACCCACGCTTAGTAATGGAACTACTACCCCAGGGTAAAGTGCTATATTATTGACTCATTCAAAGCTACAAAATGTACCTAGGCGATTGTATTTTCCATGAAAATACCTTGTTATTTATATTTTATAGATTTGTCAAAACTGATATTAATAAATTGCTGTTGTATTAATTGTGCATTTGGATTAGATTGTTTTAAAATGCTACAAGAGTCTAACCTACAGTGATCACCTCTATATAAGGACCACCTGCCTATAATGACCACATTTTAGGCAGTCCT